CACTGACACCAATCACTGTTGGGTGCAAATGAAGGTTAATTCCATCTGATGACAGGTTTATCCTCATGAGGGTACACGGCACTTTGTGTGTCCTTGTGTATTTCTGTGTGTGTGTGTGTATTTTCCTTATGATTTGACTTCCAAACTATCAACAGAACATCATGTGGGTCTGCTGGCAATCTGTGCCTCTACACTGTTATGAATTTAGTGAACCAAATCCTGCCTACATGCTGATACAACACTTCGCCACCTTTATGCGCCTGTTGAATCTGTCTATAGTATCTAAAAACAAAAAACAAACTCACTCTTATAAGACACAAGTGTTTTGCCAAAGGCAAGAAGGTCATACACTGTGAGTCACTTTATCACCATCTCATTAGTTGAGTTGATGGAAAAGAAAATGGTTTTTGGAGCTGTGTGTCTGCACACTTCATTAGCTGTTATAATAACTGACAATAAAGCAGTGGGGAGCAGAAGGACGGGGGGAAAAAAAAGAGACAAGAGGAGAAGACGACAGGAGAGAGGTGAAGACGAGAGAGAGAAAGAGGAGAAAGATGTCCTGCCAATGTCTGTGTAACAAAGCCACTCTCTATGTAATTGTCTCGTGGTGAGTGTTGTGGTATTTGGCACTCGGAGCATGTTGAAACTCAAACCCTTGCTGCGGACTGTCCCTTTAATGTGGCAGGCGACTAAACGGTGCCCTGTCATCAGCCTGCATTTTCTCGCAGTAGTTTTGTACAATCAAACGCTCACATGCAGGCATACAAATGTAAACACACGCACACCCACACAACCGCAACACACACAAACTATACATGCTCAGAAGTAGACACGTTACACAATACCTTTTCATTTTTACCAGCAACATACATACATACATACATGCATGCATACATGCATACAGTCGGGCTGTGCCGGGCCAGGCTTCTCTCAGCAAGACACAGAAACCTGAGTGGATGCACAGCTAACTAAACAAACGCAGTAGACACACTGAGGATGTTGGACTGTAGCACTTCCAGCTATGACTAAAGGTGAATTTCATTAAAGCTGGGTCACTCTCCAACTGAGAGAGAGGAAAGGAAGTAAGGAAAGAGGAAAAAAAAAATGTATAAAACAAAGAAACAGAGAGGAAGAATGAAAGAAAGCCTGAGGGAAAATGACTTCAGTAAACTATCATCACCCCTGATTTCAGCCCAATAATGAGCCTCTTTCAGCGTGATAACTTCCTGCTACTGATGCATACTGATAGAGCCACGCTACCTGAATGCTGTCTGTTTGGTCAATCGAAACCATTCCCTGCCTGCAGACAAAACAAGTGGTGCAATCACCATCCATCCATCAGATAAGAAACAGATGTTATTCAGGGGCTGAGCTCAAAATGACACACACACACACACACACACACACACACACATACACACACCCAGATGCACTAAGTTTATAGGCTTTCATATTTTATGTTGTGGAAAAATAAAGCTGTCTCGATGATTTGTTTGGATCTACTCCTCATTGTATTTATCATTTTTTAAACATCCTTGATTGGTCACCATAATCATTATCTTCACTAAACTGCTCAATCATGTCCAGAGACTACTGTCTTCATCCTGTCCTGTGTGTTTAACAATGTCTGTTTTTGTGTACACACAATCTGCTGTGGGAAGGATGTTGTGGGAGAGCTGGCTTTGCAAGAGATGAATTAAGCAAACCAGACAAAATGAGAGAGCAAAAATAAAGGTCAAGTTCAATAAAGGCTTATGTTGAGGATCTTCCAAGTCCGGGTATCTTCGTGGGGGTTTTAGGCGGATGTTGGTTCTTCACCCCGAGGGGGAAACTGACGAGAGGGGGCGAGATTTGACTGATAACTCTGGGCAACAGTGTTTAGAAAGTAACCGGCAAACTTTATGGATCTGACTGTGTTGTTCCTGCAGTGCTGACAGGAGAACAGCAGTTTAAACTGCTTCCTCTGTCAGGATCTGCTGATCTAAGCCTTGGTAGCTCCAGGAGACGTGACCATTCGAACCACAAAATAAATTATTGTAATAAACTCGCAAAAATTCCTATGGATCAAGGGAGAGTAGAAACAAACTGACCAAGTCTATGTGGAAGAACTAAGCAGCCTTTAAGGCATTTTCATTTCCATATTGCATCCCACACAGTCAATTTTCATGTAATTTTAAACTGGATGGAAGGAATGTTGACTGGATTTGTTGATGAGTTTGTTTGCTGTCAAATGCAGAAGCAAGAAAGTACAGAAAGATCTTTTGTAAGCGTTGCAACTAGTAGTGTGGGTCAAGCATATTGTCAGAAAATTATGCTCTTCAAAAGCTTTATTGGATATGAAGGTTGCAGCAAACTCAAGCAACAAAAGTTCTAAACAGGTATAAAGTTCTAAAAAGGGCCTTTAACTTGCCACTATCCTAATATCAACAATATAGAAACCTGAGAAGTAATTATGTTCATACTGCAAAGTCAAAGTGACCATGAAAGACAATCTGGTGTAGCCTGAAACCATATCTGTAGTGGATGATTTCAGTTTTGGAAGGAAAAAAACAATGGACAAAACTATCACATTTCTTATCTTCTATTATTCAGGATTGTTTCATGGATTCCAAAAAAAAAAACATATATCTTTACATCATCAATAACCTTGATGGGGGAAAAAAACACGCATACTTCAGACATGAGTGCACAGTGAAGCTCCGGGAGCATTCATAAGAGTTATTGTGCAGTTCTTCGTAGAAACATTTTGACACAATCTTGATTTATTAACTTCATAATTAGTTTTGGGAGATAAAACTCCAGCACTAACAAAGAAGCTCGCCAAGCAACACACACTGCAACACTTCACAAAACCTTTTAGTCAACTCTGGTGGGGGAAGAAAATAACGACAGTCTATTTCATGTGAAAATCCCTTGTGGGTAATGATGGGTGTCAATCCGAGCTCTAATGGTATTTCTGCAGAGAGTTCTCATTACTGGAGACACAACATTAATAACAGCAGAGCAGAGCGGGCCTCCCCAGACGAAATGGGGACATAGTGGTTGAGACTGTTGCAGCTGTACAGTTTGTTCAAAATATCAAATTATCAATATAATTATTGTTCAGAAAAGCATTTACTGCAGTTTCTGGGTTGACTAAAAACGACACTGGCAGTGAGGGTGCTGACACTGACTGATGTCAGGCTGAATGACTGATAGACAAAAATATACATACAACAACTTGAACTATCAGTTCTGATGCTATAGAAAGTTGTGTTAATCAAATTTTCAGACTTGTTTCTTTAGCACAGTCCACAGGTTCTGGGGGTTTAAGTCAGGACTTTGGAAAGGCCAATCAAAAACCTTACTTCCAGACAGATTTAACCATTTCTTTACCACTTTTGATGTGCTTATGGGGTCATTGTCTCCCGCTCGACTGTACCCAAGACCTAACCTTTTGGCTGATGATTTTAGGTTTTCCTGGAGAATGTGGAGGTAGTTCTTCCTTTTCATGTTCCATTTACTTTGTGAAGCAAAACAGCTCCGGATCATAATACTACCACCACCATGCTTGACAGTCAGTATGGAGTTTTTGGGGTTACAGGACTCACCTTCTTATTTTTGTGAGTATTTGACCAATGTCTATACTATGTGTTGGTCAAAAGCAAGTGCACCAATCAAATCAGCCACAGCATTAAAACCACCTGCCTAATATTGTTTAGATCACTTTTGTGCTGCCAAGACCTCTCTGACAACATATGGGCATGGACATGAGACCTCTGGGGGGGTTCTGTAGTGTCTGACACCAAGACAATAGTAATGAACCCTTTGAGTTCTGTAGGTTGCAGGGTGGTGTCTCTGCTGATCAGGCTTGTCCTGGCGCCATCCCACAAATGCTCGATCGAATTGGGAACACCTTGAACTCTTGGTTATGTTCCTCGAGCAGCTTCTAAGCAAAATTTAAATGTGGCATCGTCCTCTTTGAGGCGGCTGCTGTCATTGGAGAATGCCTTTGCGATGGGAGGAGTGAGCCTGCTCTGGAGCAAAGTTTAGGAAGGTCTTATGTGTCTAAGTAATATCCACCAGAATGCCAGGATCCAAGGTTTCCCAACAGAACATTACAAAGTAACAAGATGATCAATGTCATTCACTTCAGCTTTTAATGTTGTGGCTGATCCGTGTACATCTCCACCTTAAGGGTGCTGTTTGGCTGTACAAAAGTAAAAAACTGCTGGACGAAGCAAATTAAATCAAATTCTATTGGCACTTTTAGGAACCTACCCCGGATAAGCGGAAGACAATGGATGGATGGATGGACTTTTAGGAAGCCTTTTGGTAATGAAGGATTCTTTTGAAACAAAAGACAACAAATCTTGGACTGAAGCATGCTTTACAGTGTCTGTCTTGCAAAATTTGTGCTATCACAGCTCCCTAGCAATGTCCTGTGATCTGCCCCTGCAGCACATCTGAAAACAACTACTTCACCTGAACACAAGCCATACTTCCTGTATTTTCCTCAAAATCAGACGGGGATGTCTGGCAAAGTAAGCCAAACTGTACAAGATGAGAAAATTTGGGTGCCACCGCAGAAGTCGACACAAACACACTGATGAAAATATGACAAGAGTGTGAAAAGACGTAGTAAAAAGCAACAGCACATCTCAAGACTCCACTCGTAACTTGCTTACGAAAGAAGTAAAAGTAGGTCAGTGGAAATTAGAGAAATGCAATGCACCTGTGGCTATATTCCCACATGCTGAGTAGATCAATGTGTAATTCGTTCCATCGGTTATCCTCGGTAGTGGCCTACACTGGGACAATGGGTGTTGTCTGGGTTGCTGAAGGTGACCGCTCAGAGGATGTGAAATTCTTAACACTTCATTGGATGTAATTTCAACAGCACATGTGAGGCTACAGTTCAACACTGCATGCGTTAATTTGCACTCTGAACATGTCATCACTATGTTGCCTGTGACGGATGTGAGGTAGAACAGTTCTGTTGGATCGAGGTTTGTTTCGGACTTGGTGCTCATACCAGCTTTTGGTATGTGTATGTCTACATGCGTGTTTGTTTACCATCACTAGAGCCGTTCCACGAGGTGGCTGCGAGCACACTGGGGTCTTGGGGAAACTCAGACCCTGTGAACAGAGGAAATGGAGGAGGCTATTAGTATGGCTGTGACTGTTGGGCATAAAAACAGGTAAAAGTTGGCAGGTGAGGGGACCTTTCATTAGTTCCATTGTTTTTGGGGACTTTAATGAGAAAAACAATGTGTGGAAACCTCCTCTGGGAAATGAAATACTTTGTCAAGTGCCAGTATGGTGACAAGAGGAGAAAATAACCACCCAGTCAGAGCTGAAATATTTAAATTACCAGCTCAGGCTCTATGTGTGAACAGCAGTACACTCCAAATAGCAACACAGAACTTCTGGGCCAATGAGAACCGACAACATCAGAAAGGTTACACCTTTGCATTAAAGTCAAATAACAAGGTAAACAGCTAATGTTGCAGACATGTAAAATGTAAAATAGTGCAAACAAACACATATGCACAGTGCAACAGCGGAGATAGCATTGTACAATGGCTAGTGCAGATCAAAGGTTTGAATGTATAACAGGGAGCCCATCAACGAGCCATGTGGACCTAATGCTCTGTTATTACCAGCTGACGACAGAGTTGCCCTCTGCTTTTCATTACAGGAGAGAGGAGACACAAAATGCTCCTCAGTGTGTGCATCGCTGCAGGACATAGGTGATTCCCAACCAATTAAAAAAACCAAACACGCAAGGCTGACAAGGGACCTCAAACTGTTTTATGTTTGCTGATTTTCAAGCCACTGTAAAGCTGACAAGCACTCAAGTCGCACACATTGTCCCACAGTTACAATCAGCTATGATACCGTGTGTGTGTGTGTGTGTGTGTGTGTGTGTGTGTGTTTCAGTGCAGGCTGGGATAGTTTAACATGATGAATGAGCAAATGGCTGCCTGCCAACTGAGGGCAAGAACCCTGCAGTCACAAATACATGCAAAAATGCAAGCATGTGCGCTGACACAGCTGTACACAGAGATATGTCTGCAAACCTCATCTCACACACTGAAATTAATAATTTCATAAATCGGACAAATATCCTCAAACTGACAACTTGCTGTTGTGTGCGTGCCATGCAGGGAGTCAGGCAGCGCGAGGAGAGAAAGTCTGCAGTCGAACAGGACCAGGAGCCTGACACAGGGTCATACTAATTGGGTGATAATGTGTTGCTTCACACGTGCTGTGTCGGGATGGTAACGACTATGTGGTGGTGCTTGTGAAATGAACTGTGTTAATGAGCAGCGCTTTGGGCCTCTGCACCTGTTGGTGAGGGAGTCTGGAGGCTTGGCAACAGGCTCACAACAACGGGCCGGCAGCTTTATGACTTATGGTTAAGATTGTTACAGATATGTAGAAAAACCCAGAGGGGGAATATAGAATAAAAATACTGTAAGTGAGTGTACATTATTCTATCCTCTTAATAAAGTGGGGGTTTTTGTGTGTTTTCTCATGTTTCCAGCTCTCACAAGCTGCAGTATGGGAATGAAAATGACTTAGTGGTTTGTTCTAGGAGGCTCCCAGCATGACAGTGTATTATAGAGAGTCTGGGCCCCAAGGTGAGTCTAAATTTACATTGTGTTCTGTGCTGATAGACTCTAAGAAGGCCGGAGCTCTGTGGTTTTTACAAAGGACAGAGGAGAGGGGACGTTGCAGCTCACTAGCTTCACTAACACAAAGCCAACCAAGTGCAGCCAGGTGAGAGTTCAATAGAGGAGGCTGGACATGGGAACAGTTGGTAGAGGAAAGAATGGAAGCTGTACCATGATGAAGTTTGTACAAACAATATAAACGAGGTGTATTTATGAGGGAAAAAAAATATTAATTTTGGGAAAACTTAAGATTTATAACATTGTTCATGAACAAACAATGGCACTCCATGATTTTAGTGACATTACATTTGCAGATAAGACAATTGTCATCCACTCATTTTGCTCTATTTCTCCCTCTCTCTCCAACTCCATTTCTCCTTTATTTAGGTCACATCTGTTCTCTTTCATTGAGGCAATCATCTGAAATATCTGGGATGAATTGCACGGTAATTTTGAGATTAGCTCTCTAATGTTTCTCAGCAGTGGAGGGAAGCGACTGTATTAAGCCCGTTTGTTAATAAGAGCCTAAAAATAGGCCCTTTCACAGTAATCGTGTGAGTTTAGATCAGTAGCTGTTGCAAGGGGTGGTTCTGGTCCGTGGCTGGATCATAATCCTGATTCTAATGTTACCTGCATCGCTGAGTCCTTGTGTGTTGACATGAATGAAGGAAAAGAGACCGAATGCGGAGTTTAAATCTTTAAAAAAATGAAGGAAGAAATCATATGGGTTTCTTTAAGTGTACGTTGGAACGCTCACTTCTACTCAAGCAAAGTCTTTCATCCATGACCAGCCTGTTTCCCTTTAACCTGCCCCAGAAGTTCCCAAAAGTTTTAACTATTTAGGTGGCAGATTAGAAATGAGGAGGACTGTAGTCTTCAGGTGGACCAGTTGGTGGACGGTATCAGGGTGATTTTGTTTTCTCTTAGTACTGGTAACACCTGAAGCCACTTGAATAAATGTTGGACATGTTGATTACTGGGGTTTTGCATTTTTATGGCATTAAAATCTTAAGACCTGGCGTCCACATGCGTAAACATCACATTATGGGTTATATTACCAACTGTTGCTGCAAAGTTCTTTGTAAGTTCTGTCTACATATAGCAATGCTTGTGCAGTTTCTAAGGGGTGCAAGAATAAATAATGTGCACACAGTGAGTTGAAATGTGACAGGAGCAATTCCCAGAAACTGCCAGAAACAAAATAACTATAAGTTTGCATTCATTTAATGTTGGTAAGCGAGTTCACTGAGATTCAAGGTGGATACCTTCTAGACCATCCATCCTATCACCTACGTTATTAAACTCTACGGGAATTATTGCAGCAATATTCTTCAAATGATTTCATATACATTTAAAAATCAGTTTTCTAGCTCTCTCTGATATATCTGCCCAATAATTTTTTATCACAATGACGTTTCTCTCTACTGTTCAAACAGACTTTTACTGTGATTTCCCTTTAAATACCTTCAAAGACAAGCAGCATAACCTGGAAAAATACTGTGAACGTATTTCCATAGCATGTCAGCAGTGATATGCTGAAACTTCAGAGGCCATTTTGGCATGGCGGTGAACACCCATCACAAATCTGGAAGCCTCACAACCTTGATTATAGTATCACTTTACCTTCTCGGCTGGCATAATTTATAAAAACTGAAAGATTTGGAACCTTTTCTTTCATTTGCAGCTTAGTGCCCCGGCTAGCAGCAAAATTTACAGTAAACGGTTAAAATGAAGCTGCCTGTGAGAAGTCCAGACATCAAATCTCCACACAGAAAGTTCCATGAGAGGAGCCTCTGATCCCCATCCAGCTGTATTTGGCTTACGATGATAAAAATCACGCAGGGACACGAGCTTAACCCCTATAAAGCTCTCAGAATTTGGTGTGACTTTACTGTGACAGCAGCATATGGGAATTAGTGCACGACTTTAACTCAAGGGTTGGGGATGAGGAAAAAGGAAAGAAAGGCTAAGAAGAAAGCAAGGCAGGGGGAACCCTCGGAGGGCAAAGCTGAACCAAATCAGAAATGTTCAATTTGAGCGGTTGTGCATATCAACTAATATGCTGTTATATGGTCTGGGGGGCTGTGTTTGGAGCCAGGGTGGTTGGTGTGGTGAGTGAGACTGATGTATGAGCTCTCCCGCTCTGTTATTAGGGCCTCTCCCAAGGTCCTCTTCCATCCCTATTAGCTGGAAAACTGACCTAACCCAGAGGTTATCTGGATGAATGGCAAACCCACCATTTTCACAGCGCGATTGTCATATTTCTGCCTTAAAGAGATGAAAGACACACATGCGTAAATGTGGAAAATTGAGGAATGATAATCATTTGCTTCTCCAGTTTGTCTTCATCAGCTCAGTTTCCATCCAGCAAGTTTCTATCTCTGTTCTTCTGTGCGCTCACTCACGTCGCCTTTTCATCTTAGAAAAAGAGATGCTTCTACTGAGAAAGTGCTCCGATTTCCCCAACAGGCTACCATTTCACCCCATCTCCCTCCTGTATACTTACCTAAAGGAAGTAGTTAAAACTCCCCTCAACTGTGCAGACAACAAGAAGAGTGAATCAAGCAGCTAATGTCCCAGTGTTGCATGTATATAAAACCAGTTTAAGAACCATGTAGGGCTCAAGCTGCCTTAATGAATTATTAGAGCAATTATCCTCAGGATTGGAAAATGAGTGGAAATTTACAGTCATGGCGAAAGGACGGGGATCTGAGAGAATAAAGATTTTTTTATGCCAAGAGAAAGAGGGGGAAAAAAAGAGTGGTAAGAGTGAGGAAAAGAGGAAAAGTGAGGGAGGACTACAGAGGAATTAGAGATAAATGGAGGGAGGATGACTTGGAAAATGTGAGAGTGCAACAAAAAAAAAAGAAAGTAGACAGCAAGGGAGAAAATTAAAAAAAAAAAAGAGAAACTTCTAAATAAACTCTCAGTGAAGGCACTCGTAAAATCTGCTTTTTAAGAAGTGGGCTGCTGTCCCACCGAGCAGAGTGCAGGTTTATGTTGGCTGCACACCCTGTAAACCGTCATTGTGTCAGACGTAAGAAACTGTTAAGCCGGTCGGACTTGGACATCTTTGAAGACGATAATTAGAGAGAATGAAGAGGCAGAAAATAAGTGGAGAAGTTGCAGATAAATCCTGGTTTGTTTCAAGTGACTGTTTATTTTTGTGTGGTTTTGCCAATCCCTTTTATGGCTGGCAATGAGTTTGTACTTACATGGTGGCATCAATGTAATAAGTGGTTAAAGATACACAAGTTGTTGGATGATCTGAAATGTTGTAAACAAGCCCTATTGTCTATGAAAAACTTCGACTTTCATTAGAACTGGAACTACTGCCATAACTATGACCAAAAGTGCAATAAACCCTCGTTGTATTTAAAGAAAGACGGCAGTAAGAAAACAGCAGAGGTAGAAAAAAGAACGGTTGTGTGCTTGTGTTCCTGCACCTGCATGCTTGTG